CGAGGAGGATGTGTTAACAGGATCTAAAATTCCACCCTGCTCTGGAGTGCTGAGTGACTTAACAGACTGTGTCTCAAAATAAAAGAAAAAAATGAGCTAAGGGAATATAGTTCAGTGCAAAGGCCTGAGTTCAATCTCCAACACTCCAATCAATCAGTCAATCAGTCAGTCAATCAGTTTGCATACCCAAGATTACTGCAGCTCTGTTCACAACAGCCCAGGTATGGAATCAACTAAGTTTCCTATCAACAGATAAATGGGGTAAGGAAAATGTGCCATATATCTAGAAGGGAATATTATTCAGCCATAAAATGAGTGAAATCCTGTCATTTATAGCAACCTGAATGGAAATGGAGGTCATTATGTTAAATGAAATAAACCAGACAGAAATACCACATTTTCTTATTCATCTTAAAAAAAAAAAAATATCAATCTCATAAAAGAACAGAGTGCAACAGTTCTCACTAAAGACAGGAAAGGGGAGAAAAGAAAATAAGGGCACAAAACTAGAAAAATCTAGCTCTGGTTTCCTACTATAGTGTAAATAATCACACTGTACCTCGTAAACATATATATATATATCATATCAATAAAAATATGATAAGCAGGAAAATTCTAAAACCATGGCTATTGCTTTTTTATGGCTATTGCTTTTTATGAAGTTATTTGCCGAGGGATGTTCTGTAATTTTATATTTACCTACTGGCTCTTCACAGATGTTAACTGCTTGGATTCTATTTGAAAGTGTATGAAATCATTAAAGAAAAGAGATACAAAAAATGCTTAGCATAGTTCCAGGAGGCACAATGATTGTGAAATTAAAGTCAGTATCTTGATTGTATTCTCAGATCTGAACAGCCACACAATGCAGGCCCTTAGAAAATCCTATCAGCAGTGTATGGAATGCTATAGGAGCTGCTTTTTCAAAATTATTTTAAAATAAATAGAAAAGTAAGGTGATTATGCCATAAGATAGCAATCATGATGAGAAAGTCCTGTCACTCTAAAAGGAATTATACAATTTAATTTTAACCAACTGATAAATAAAGCACTCCAAAAAGATAGTACAAAGTACATACTGTTTAAGATATTGGGTAAGTTTCACCTTTAGTATCATATAAACAATTTTTACAAGCATAAAGAAAACTTCACTCAAGTTAAATAGGATAGACCAAAGATTTGAAGATAAAGGAAGAGAAACTTGACTTTCAAAACTCCGGTTCCTTGTAATAGAGTTTTTATAAATATATTAAAATGGGCACGATTATATTATCTACCATAATTTCACTGCTATGAAGTGGGACAATATGCATATGAGTTTCAGAAAAGAAATGAAAATGAAACAGTATAACGGAATGTAAGAACTGCGATGAAAGGTCAGTAACATTAATACTGTTTATATTCCAGACTCTGGAGTCATAAATCCTGGGTTCAAAAACCAGATGCTGCCCTTACAGTGACTGTGGCCAGGCAATTTAAACTCCGAGATGCTAACTGTTCAGTGTCAGTGGGAAAATTAAATGGTATAACATAAAATAAAAAGAAAAGTTAATTACATACTCTTAAGCACAGTCTTTTAAGCAGAGAATATATATAAAACCCTTGAAGGGTGTTTGATATACAAGTCTGCTCAACAAATAATAATTAATACTAAATTTTCCATTACTATTTACTAAACAGAATCTCTCCACTGCCTGATATAATGTATACTGAAATGGAATCAAATTCATAATAGTACATGTCCTTGTATATATACAAACAATAATGTTTTTGAATTGGTAAACCTATCATAATTTAAAACTATAACTCTTCTTCACATCATTCTTTTATTTTGCTCTTTAATTCACGTACACTTTGGGTTTCTCATATAAAAGAAACAATGTGATATTTAACTTTTTGTGCTTGATATATTTCACTTACCATTATGGTTTCAATGTCCATCCATTTTCCTACAGATGACTCAAGTTTATCGTCATAACTGTAGCACAATAGTATCCCACTATGTAACATATTTGCTTCATCCATTCATCAGTTGGTAGACATGCAGGTCACTTCCTAAAACCACCTACTATGCGCTGTGGTGCTATGAGGCCAGGGTATGCATGTACCACTGTACAATGGTATCTTTACTCTTTCAGGAAGATACCTAGTAGGGGAATAGCTGGGTTGAATCAAATTTCTATTTTTAGTTTTTTGAGGATTCTCTATGGCGACTTCCACGGTGCTTATACTACTTTACATTTCTACCAGCAGTGTAGAGGGTTCCTTTTTTCGCCACAGCATTGCCAGCACATATGAGTTGATATTTCGTGATTGCCATTCTTTCTGGATTAAGATGGTTCTCTGTATTGGTTTAATTTGTGCTTTTCTAATAGTGAGTGATGTTATCATTTTTTATGTATTTACTGGTCCATGTACTTCAAAGTGGTGTTTGTTCACTTGGATGCCCATATTTTGACTGAGTCTTTTACTTTAGGGTCTATTTTTTAGTTCTTTAGGTGTTCAATAAATTAGACCTCTGTCCAAGGGACTTTCAACCCTAATTGCACAGAAATAACATCGGGAATCAACAAATGAAAAGCAAAGAAAGTAACAAAAGTTAAGAGAAAATCCACAGAATAGGAACAATTTTTGACACCACACATTAGTTTTGCAGATGTTAGGAATTCATAGAAATGAAATCAGAGCATGTATGTTATTTTGCATCTGTTCTATTTATTTGACATTGAAGCGTTCATAGAATCCTCTGGATTACACGTCTCATACCCAGCACATTGAGAATCCCAAATAGAAGGCTTCCTGTATGCAAGCCATTAGTGTTCTACACCCCTCCTGCTCAGACTCATTTCCTACACACATGTTACTGACCCTCTGACTCATAGATGGGATGGACAGTGTGAGCTAAATGTGTGAATAATTATCTTCCCTTCTTGAGTAAAAAGTTGAAAAGACATAAAACTACATTTCTATACTTCCTTGTTGTAGGGTCTGACTATGTTGGTTTCACTAAAGAAAAACATTTTAGTTGAAACAAAGTCATGCAGTGAGATAGGTAAATCACAAGGCTTATATATCACTATTATACCTTGTGCCAGAACTCTAATCTTCTGGACCACAAGAACGGAGCAGCACTCTTTTGGTTTCCTGCTAACATATTCACACCAGCCTGAACCACTAATGGTACTGTCCCATCAGGCAGCATGGGACAGACCCATGGGATGGTATGAGCTGGTCCCTGGGACAGTCAGGCATGTAAGGTTCCATCGTGAATATGTAATGATGGTAAAGGTAGCAATCCTTATGATAGCCTAATTCATGAAAGTACAGCTCGGAGTCTCTTTTTATAGCCCTTCCAACAATTCTATAGCTATTCATGAATCTTTTCCTACTTAAATTGGCCAAAGTTATTCTTCTGTCTACAGTTAAGAATACTATCTTACAGTTTCCTTGTGTTTAACTAATACTGACATCTTGAAGGAGTGCTAAAAGGATTGACTAGGACAACTCAAATGAAGTACTGCACACATGTATCTGACAAAAACTAGTTGTTATTGGTGTACCATCGTTGTCATTAGTTTTAGTATTATTCTAAAGTGTCCTAGTAATCAGATTACCTGAGTTTGAGCTGTGACTTTAGTGTATATTCTTCCTGCAGTATTAGTCAAGTTGTTTATTCTAAGGCTCTCTTTCTGTATCAATAAACTAGGTAAGAAGTGTAAATACTGTGTGCTGCCAGTGTGAAAGTCAAATTAGAATACTGTATTAATTAACATCTTCTTTCTGTACTTCTTGTTATTCTCCATACAGATAATTCAGTTAAAAGTTGTTCCCCATTGCTTCATTTTGTTACATGGAAACGTCTGCTCTCGTTCCTTCACAATCTTGGCACATCTGCTATGTAATACCCCAACACATCTGCATACTGTTATCTTCTACTTGAATTCAAATCCTTTTCAATGAAGGTTCTTTTGGGAAACTCTGAGCCTACTCTAACCACTTCCTTGACCTTGGAATTGCAACAAATAGCAGCACACACTTCCCTCAACATTTTGTTCTTTTTCAGTTAGTCAATGAAACTTATTTATCTCTCCTTGAGTGTTTTGACTCTTCATATCTCTTCAAAAAGGCTAGCAATTGCTAATCATTTGAATAACTGCTGACTGGATAACACACCACATCATGCAGTGAATTCAATTATATTACATAATAGTTTTAAATCATGTCATTAAACATACAGCCTTACATGTAAGTACTTGGGTAAAAGCTATTTAAAATTATACACATACATACTCGTCTTATTAAATTACTTTCTCTTTGCCAAAATATTTCCACTCTTCTCTGATTTCTTTTAATCATGCCTTTTAATTCCACCAACATATGGTAAGAATAAATGTGCTGACAAAATTAAACCAGTGTTAACATGAAAGCATGGGAATGATTTATACTTCTTCTACATATTTTTTTACAATTGGCATTTAACATATGTACAGAGAAAAGGGCTGCTTTATGACCTAGAAACATGAGAATCACTTGGAGGGATTTAACAGTACCAATGCCTGCTACTCTACCCCAGAGACCAGTATTTAACTTGATTAGTCTGTGGCTTAGCAATAGGATATTTACAAGTGGGACAGGATATTTACTAGGACAACTGGACATGAGAACCTATTCTCCATTTAGGATCCTATCCAGTTCATTTTTCCCTCACTTCTTTGTCTGAGGAGCATGTATTCTTCCTGGAGTGATTTAAGGCTATTCATCTAAACACTCTTTTGCTGGCACCATTGGGACTTTGGGCACATATGCATAAATACAACATAGTTTTACCTTGAAAGCTACTGTAACTAAGGAGGTAGTGACACTTTCCACATACATTAAAGATAAGGTATCAGCCTGGCAAAAATTAGCCTGGTGGGAAGAGAGGGAGGAAAGGGAAAGAAAATGATATCTTGCAGCAATATTAACTATAAATAAGAATTAAAGCTTCAAGTTTTATGTACCTGATCGATGGCTCTCAGATCATCAACAAAGCAGTTTATTTCTGATAGAAGCAGAGATATAACAGACTTTCTCAACAAGCTGCAACTTCCTAGGGTTACCAGAGTATGAGAAACATAATGCTGCTCCTGAAACTAAAGATGAAAATGAGTAAGTTTTTAATTTCCATCTAGCCAAGTCCAAGTGTACTTAATGAGTATTTTCTAACACTTAACTATTAAGCTAAATATTAGGCAGAATTCAAAATGTCAACATAATTCTGGTCAGTCCTAAGCCAAGTTTTGACATAGACAAATTATAGCAAAATAGTTCTAAGACGGTAGGCAGCAGTTAAATTTTCACATGTATGACAGGATGCTAAAATGAAAGTCTTGTTGATATATCAAAAGATAATATAACAGTTTGGATGATAGACGATGTGCAGAATGAGTTATGAAGACGATAACGTAAGACGACACTGGAGCACTTACACAAGAGATGGAAGATACAAAAAGGTGAGAGCAGAAGTTTGAAGGTACCTTTGGGCAGAGCTATGGATTCTGAGTCCCACCTCTACCCATACAGGGTGAGGTAGAAGGGACTTGCATACTTAACACAAGTAACAATCAGGGTGCTTTATAACAATGAGGGGAAAAGTGAGATACGGAGTTTTCATGTATAGGTAACAAAAGGATTCACAATTAAATAAATTTAAAAGGAAGTGGGACACAATAAACTATGCCTCATAAGGAGTAAGGACATTTCATTATCAATCATATTAAGGAAAGTAAAACTCATGGTCAGAATTTCATTTAATCTATCTTTTAACATAGCTAGGAGAAAGGAGGCTTCCAGAAGAATCTCAAAACCAAGTAATGATCATATATTTTATCATTGTTTTGTATGTGCTTAAAATGATACTGAGGAGACACTGCTTTCAATGTCAAATAAATAATTCCAGGTGGGCTAGAAATTGCTACTTCTTTGTCCTTTACAATGAATACTTACATGTAGACATTTCTACATGTAGTAATCACATTCCAGTGATTCCAGTGATTGTGGTCTCTTTCCTATTAGTGAAACAAAATATCTGAAACCTGCACCTGAAAGTAGGAGTTAGCATTTTAATAATACACATGAATTTCAAAAGTTAAGACAGTAAGGAAGTGAGTAGATTGTAGAGGAAAAACATCCGTTATGAATGGGTAACGAATAATTAGCCCTTAATAGAATCCTAAATCAACTTCATGCTAAAAAACATCAAGTAATTACAACAGGAAATAATATGTATTTTTTTTATCATTATTTGTTATTAATGTAATTGGTTAAGATTTAACTGTTCATAACTCTCCAGTACCACTTAATTTCAGATTTATACATTTTTATGTTTGTACTTAAAGTATTCTCTTAGTTCTAAAAGAGTTTTGATAGTTATTTACTGATACTTTAGTTGTGTGTTTACCAATTTTCTCAGTATATAATTCTTTGGGCAGTAAGTTAAAGTGAAGAAAAAGTCAACAGACAAAATAAAAGACTTTGAAAAGCGGTAGTAAATTGATGATGGTAGCAACATGGTTGGATTCTCAGCATGTAACACTGGCTGATCCAAAGCCTAACCTCGGTACTTAGGAGCTTGTACTTGTAGCTTAACTTTTATGTGTTAGTTTCCAAATTTGCAAAGGAACAATCATGGTAGCGTTTAGTAGACTGGGCATTTTAGGATAAATAATAAAAATCCTTAACATAATGCCAGATGCCTAGTCAGTCTTCAATTAGTGCAATGCTATTATAACTTTAGATAATACTATAGAAACATTACAGGCTATATGACAGATTTAATTTATTGACTCTTGAAAAGCTAAATTCTGTACTAGTCAGTTTCCCACTGCTGGGACAAAATATCTGAGATCTGCAACTTAAAGTACAAGTTTATTTTGGCTCATGGTGTTAGTGATCTCAATCCATTACTGGCTGGTTCCAATGCACAAATGGCTTGGCACAAGAGCATGGGGGAAGAAAGCTGCTCACCCTGCAACAGCTAAGAAGCCCAGATAGAAGGGACAAGCCAGAGAGGCACACCCTTTCACCTCATGGCCCCAGTGTCCCATCTCTTCAGACCAGGCTCCATCTCTCTCTCGATCATATTTTGCCTTGAACTCATCAATGGATTTTATCCACTGATAAGTAAAGCACCCAGTGATCCAATGACCTTCCAAAAGTGCCAATTCCAAATACACAACTTTTACAGGACATTAGATCTAAAACCATAACAACTACTACAAATTCTTTTTCTAGATTTAATTCAAAAAATAAAAAATAAAATAAAAATAAATTTATTTCAATTCTATTAAAAAAACTAAACTTTATCGTAAAGAACTTTTCCAGAGTATAGTTATGAGCTATTATTGTGTAGCCAGAATGACTGAAGTTGACAAAAAGAAAATACTGTGTAACACTTAACATGGTTTAAAAATTTGTAAATATTCACATGAAATAGCCTCTATGCTTCCTTAAATTATTATACACTGTTTTGTAAACAAGATATAACTTTTTAGACTGATATGAAGGTAAGGAGCAGAAAAATATTATGCTAGGCTTCTATAGCAGAAATTGTGGATTCATGTCAATCATTATCATGTCTTCCTATATTTCAGAAGTTGGAGAAAAAAAATATAGTATTTCCCAGATTCTCCTGGAGTTAGGATTCTGGAAATAGGCTGAGTTCTTGAATCTGTATCTGAGTTCTTGACTCTCGCTTGAGCCCTAAATTTAGAAGTACATTACAGAGGAAGAGAAGTAGGTACAGGTGTATGTTTTGTTGGTACAAATTGTGGTAAAGGGGACAGAGGGGACATGGTTCTGGCTCATTTAGCAGTTGCTTCAGTGACTATATTAACCCAGGGAGCATAACAAAGTTTTTGTCATAAAGGCCAATACCATGTGTGTGGATTGACAACTGGTGGTCAATTTATAAGCCCCAGCTGAACTTAACCAGCATGGTGCTGGGCGTGGGAGACACACCTGAGGATTGCTGCTTGCAGCATAAGAGGCAGAACTGGAGAAGTCGAGAAGCTGTTGGGAACTGGTAGAGGCTATTGGAAAGCTGTTAGGGAACTGCTGGTTCTCTTGGGCTATTCTGCTGGAGGACCTCGTCATGCTGGCTTTCTTGATAGACTCAGCTGTTCTCACAGACAAAGCTCAGGACCACACTGTCACTGAGAATGGCTGCGGTTCAGTTTGGGGAGCTCTGGTCCTCATTTTGAGCATTGCCTCCTGGCTCTGGAGGGGAAGATGGTGCACTGCTCAGCCTCCTGGAGAAGCTTGACACGTTAGCTTTCCTGATGGGAACTCGATTTTCCTCATCACTGGAGCTCCAGACCTCACAGTTGCTGAGGATGGCTCTGCTACTTTTCAGGGGTGCTCTGGTTCCTACCTTGAGCGTTGCATCCTGGTTCCAGTTGAGATCCCTCAGCCTGTTAGCACAGATCCTTCATCCCACTGACACAGACTTTCTAGCTTCCACCAGTGACCTTTGGGCCTTCCCAGCGTAGATCTTTGAAAAAGGCCTGCATGAGACATTGCCGTGGGCTCTAAGCCTCCATAAGAAGTAAATTTCCATATGAATTACAATGAAAATACCAATAGGATTCTATAATGAAAATAATCTTTGCTTCAACTGTCATACCCAAGGTAGTCTTCACACATGAAAATTGCATGTCCCATACACAAGTATCACTTTACACTGATAGCACATATGTTTTGTTTTCCTGTCCTTGCAGGGCACAGCTGATGTTTTTTGGCATTCTGGTTGTCATAGTAGGTCTTTAGGATGTCCTGCCTATCTGTTCACCTGTGAGCTCAGCAGAATGGTCCACAATTGTTTAGTGTAGTTCCCTGGAAAGAAAAATTTTGTTTTTCTTCGCTTTCAGTGATCTCTTATGAGTTTCAATCCCAATCCTTTAAGAAAATTTCTCATCACTATTTTGCACTTGTTATTTTCTTTGTAAACTATCAAACTATTTATGCTATACATGTTTAGGATCAATGAAACACAAGCTTTGGCCAATACTTTGTGTTTTGAGTGACATCATAGTTGCTGCATTATGCATCAAGATCTACTCCACTATTGGTCTTATAGAAAGTTTCCATCTCAGGCTTCTGTTTTGTTGAGGTTTCCCTATACATATTTACATTACGGTGCAATGTTAACATCAGCAGTACTAATCTGTTTTTCTTTGCCATATACAAGGCCAATGTAAATTTGCCTAAAATCTAAAGATTGTGCTATACAATTCTCTGTTTTGAAATTGCAACGTTTCATTTGAAATTTCTTCATTTCTGTGTACAGTTTTGGTACTGCTCAACTTTTGCTCTGTTAGCAAATGTAAGATCAATTTGAAACTGGTAAACCAAGTGTTGCATTTTACATTCTGATTAGTTTGGGAGATGGGGGCAACAAATCTGTTCACATCATTTGGTTTATTACTATACGAATAAAGGACCTGATGGCTGAGTTCCAGGATAAATTTCTAAATTTAAAGCATAATAAGGCTGGGGCTGGGGATTTAGCTCAGCAGCACAGCGCCTGCCTGGCAAGTGCAAGGTTGTGAGTTCGATTCCCGGTACCGGAAAAACAACAACAACCAAAAAAAAAAAAAACCAAAAGAAAGCATAGTAAGGCTTTACATATACTAAGGTATAAATTTTTTTGCCATATTTTGACCTATCACTTTTCCAAAAGCCTTTTACATTCCTGTGGAACTATGTGAAATCCCTGCTATGAACAGCAAACTCATGAATGCTTTCAGTTTAACTACTGTGGTGTCATAATGAATACATTTTTCAATATGGCTGTTGGTATATTCAAAACATTTTACTTACATTTCAGCCCCTGTGTATTTCACAGCATCTTGTAGCATTTTGTCTGTTACAATTTCCAACACTGAATGGCAGTGCTAGTATTCTTTCCAGTATGTTTTACCCCTGCCAAGACCCTCACTATATGAATATATTTTTGCACTTGGTTCTAACATTGGATTGTTCTTTTTGGTTGCATGAAAATTTTGCAACATTTTGACTAATCAAATATATACTCACATTGCCATTTTGTCATTTGAATCAAGGAGATCTGCATTCCCTGTATGTGTATCAGTAG